TGCCGCCCCGTGGTCAGCGAGGGCCCTGGCGGGAGCCGGGCCCCGCGTCCTGCCTCCCGGGGTCCGCCACGTGACCAGCAGCAGGGGGAGGTCAGGGGAGGTCCAGACCGGGGCGCTGACCCGCGGAGGAAAGGCTCGGGGAGCAGGGCCCTGGTCGCCGAGCTCTGCCGGCGGCGGGGCGCCCGGGCTCCCCGGATGCCCTGTACCTGGCCCAGCAGCCTTTCTCTGCTCGCAGCTGTCCAGCTGCCTGTCACAGTGTCATCGGCTAGAAAATTCTGTTAAATTCTAGGCTCCTTGCATCGCCATATGCAGGGCTTCCAAAAAAGTGCATACATACTTTAACAGCTGATAGCTCAATTGATGTTTCTTTTCAGGTTTAACCCATTGGAATTTATAATTATTCAAAATGTGTATAAGTTTTTTGGGGACACCCGGTATTTTAGGAGGGGAGCACACAGTGCAGAGGACAGATGTTGTATTACAGATTTGTACCCTTCAAACTGATATAATGTTATTAACCACTATAATCCCAATAAATTTAATTTCTAAAAAATTTCATTAAAAATGGTACTTGGCCCTGGTTGGTGGCTTAGGTAGGTTGGAGCATCGTCCCATACACCAAAAGGTTGTGGGTTCGATTTCCAGTCAGGACACCTACCTAGGTTTTGGGTTCTATCCAAGGTCGGGGCAGATATGGGAGGCAGCCGATCCACATTTCTCTCTCTGTCTCCTTTCTCTCTCTAAAAAAATTAATAAAAACATATCAAGTGAAGACTTAAAAAAATGGTACTTGGTTTACTGGGTTATGGATTAAACAAGTGAACACATTTCCATTGTTTAGGACCATGCCTGGCACCTGGTTCTATGTGTCAGTAAATGTGGTTCAATCAATGTCAGTTTAACATCAACAAAAAACCCAAAGTGGTCAGCACTACCATTATCTCCAATTTATAAATGAGAGAGCTGAGGCTAACAATCATGAACTTTCTGAATTCCCACAATCAGGGCAATGCCTGTTGAGTGGCAGCTCCCAAAATCTCATTCCTGATTATAAAAGCTGGGAACTGTGCCAAGAATCCCCTCAGTGGATTGGAATATTTTTTCCTTGGTGCATGGGGACGTTATTACATCCATAAAATTCATAATATAATAAAATTGCATTCATAAACTGTAACACTATCATCTACAATGCATTTTCTTGCTTCTCGCTGAGTCAATCACTGAAAACAAGATCACACAGCCAAGAGGTGGCCACATTGGCTAGGGACTTCCTAAATCTGCACTTCAAATTCCCTCTGAACTTGGCTTAAGTCAGTCATCATGCCAGAAAAGTCTTCCTAAAGCTACCTTATCTACAATCGAAATAGAGACAGACTCATAGATAGAGAGCAGGCAGACAGCTGGGGGGGG